CCATCTTTGCATTCAAAGGGAAATCAGATGATGGCAAAAACCTTCCACCAGGGAGCATGGGGTGGCCTATTGTGGGTGAAACTCTGGAGTTTCTGTTTGGGAAGCCAGAAATCTTTGTCTCCAAGAGGATGAGGAGGTACTCCCCTGAAATCTTCAAGACCAAGATTCTTGGAGAGAAAACTGCTGTTATTTGTGGTCCTAATGGACACAAATTTCTGTTTTCCAATGAGCAGAAGTACTTCACAGCTTTTCGACCACATTCGATGCAAAAGATGTTTCGTTCGTATAAGGCTCCTGCAGCTGCTGCTCCTCCAGCAGTAGCACAACCTGGTTGTGACGAAGAAGCCAAAGGGTTAAGCATTGGTAAGGTACTTGGGGGTAATGGACTCTATCACCCAAGCACAGATGAAGGCCTATTGGGAAGGCAAAGATGAGGTAGAGGTGTACCCTCTGACCAAGACCCTCACTCTAGGCCTTGCCTGCAAATTCTTCTTGGGCATAGATGAGCCAGACAGAATTGCAAGGTTTGTGAGCAATTTCGATGATGTGACTGTTGGGATGCATTCACTTATTCTGAATTTCCCGGGAACAACATTCTACAAAGCAACCAAAGCAGCCGACGAACTTCGAAGGGAGTTGAAGATTGTGATTCAGGAGAAGAAGGCTGCAATGGCATCAGGAGCTCCCATGCATGACATATTGTCACATATGATTGTGGCAAGTGACCCAACTGGCAAACACATGCCAGAGGCTGAGGTTGCTGATAAGATCATGGGTTTGCTGACAGCAGGATACAGCACTGTGGCTACTGCCATGACTTTCTTCATGAAATATGTTGGAGAGAGGCCAGACATTTATGCCAAAGTCCTAGCAGGTAATTAATCTCCTCAACTTCACCTTACTAACTGTTTTTCAATTGTTCATTGATTTGGTTATTTGTTATTTGTGCTAAAAATTTGATTTGTCTTGTAAATCCAGAACACAAGGAGATTGCAGACTCAAAGAAGCCTGGACAATTTTTGGAGTGGGAAGACATCAACAAAATGAAGTACTCATGGAATGTATTGTATGAGGTGATGAGATTCACACCACCACTTCAGGGGACATTCAGAGAGGCCTTGACTGATTTCACCTACGCTGGTTACACCATCCCAAAGGGCTGGAAGGTATATCTGTCGCACTCATATCACACTTTTTTACTGCTGTGAAAAGTGAAATTTATTTTTCACCTCTGTCAAATAGTAATTTCTTTGCTTAGAACTAAAGTTTTTACTTTGATTTGTTTGCAGGTATATTGGACTGTTAGTACAACAAACATGAACCCAGAGTACTTTCCCAACCCAGAAAAGTTTGACCCCTCAAGATATGATGACTTGAATGCATTCCCAGCTTTCACATTTGTTCCATTTGGAGGAGGACCAAGAATGTGCCCTGGTAAAGAGTATGCAAGGCTAGCCATACTCACTTTTGTTCACAATGTGGTGATGAGGTTCAAATGGGAAGTGCTATTTCCTAACGAAAAGATCACAGGTGACATGATGCCGACACCGGAGAAAGGACTTCCGGTTCGAATTCATCGTCACTAGGCATCAGATTATTTTGAAATATTCTTCCCTTTTTGTTTTGTTTTGTTTTGTTTTTGTTGGTAATATCATGTGATATTGGCATCCCCTTTTCTATTTGTATATTTCATGTTGAACTAGAAGAGATAATAAATATACATGTTGAGCCTCATTGGAGTTGTTTTGTTTCGGCCTTATTATACACGGCTCTAAACCGAAACAAACTGTTCATTGCTGATTTTATTTGTACTTATCTGAAAATATTAGGTTGTAACTAATAACTAACATCATTAAATCATTATTTTGTTACTTTGAAAATAAAAATGATGTTAGGCCATCTCTAGTCATGGGCTACATCCCAAATATAGCCCTAAAATAATGCAAAACTCATCTCTAGCCATGAGCTAAACAAAATTTTGGCCAAATTTGGCCATTTAGCCCTCCAACCGGGCCAAATGCAGCCCAACTTTGACCTATGCTAAATTTGTAGTGGGACCCATTCATGTGCTTTTCAATAGCCAACATTAATATATATATATAGATTTTTAAAAGCCTTTTGAATGTTTCAATTCGTAGTGTTTAAGAAAAAAGTATAAAAAATTGTTGGCAATGACATTGGAGGTCAGACCTACCCACTCCCCTTAAAATAATAATAATAATAATAACAATAATAATAATAATAATAAATATGGTCAGCTTTTCAAATCTTTTCAAGTGTTGTTTAAAAACAATTATAAAAAAGTCTTGTTCATGACCATTGGAGCTCAAACATTGAAACACATCCAGTTTTTTTTTGTCTTCACATTTTTAAATGTTTGGTATTGTTTTAAAAAATTATAAAAAATTCTGGGTCATGATCGTTGAAGGTCAGACCCTTGAAACCCTTCCATTTTTTTTTAATTGCCTTTGTTGGCATTATTTAAAAAAAAATAGTAGTTTAATTAAATTAAACAATATATGGTTGTGGAATGTATGAGTGTTGTACTATAGTTTTTCTCAAAATAATAAAATTTGAAGGGACCCTAAAATATAGTCATGCATGGCTGGAGATGGAAAAATCTAGCCATGCACTATTCTTTAAAAAATTAATATTTTGTGGGGCTAAATTTTTAGCCATGAACTACATTTAGCCCTACGGCTAGAGATGACCATAGAATGTTGTAGAATTAGACTAACTAACTTAAAAATATGCAACACAAAAAAGGAAAAAGAGAAAAAATAATTGGGCTTAAGCCCAAACCGCCAAACCAAAATCAAACTGCATCTAGCAATTAGTCACCTTATTTCTTTCTTCTTCTTTTTTTGATTAAGTAGGGGGGCCAAAGCCCCAAGGAACAGACTACACAACCTGGTCTAAACAGACCAATCTAGAATGAATAATTCCAAGCAGATCATCAACAAGATAATCACTTAACCAACTAAGAGCCTGCTCAAACACGCATAGATGCCAACAAGTAGCTAAAGGGTGCAAAGAAAGCATGGAAGAATTCTGACAGAGATTGACTGCAATAGCTGAGTCCATCTCAATAATGAGACTACTGATGCCTTTCTCAATTGCTAACTTCAAACCAAAGAAGAGACCCCATATCTCAGCCTCAAGAACTTGACCTTTTCCCAGATTAATAGCAAAACCACTTACCCAGCCACCAAAAGGGTCACGAATGACTCCCCCAGCACCAATGCTACCAGTAACGCTTCTCCTTGAACCATCCACATTCAGTTTGAACACCAGTAACGCTTCTCCTTGAACCATCCACATTCAATTTGAACTGTCCAGGCCCAGGAAGCTCCCAGGCAACATGAATTTGAACTTTATTTACCCTGATAGTGAGATTAGACGTTGACTTAATCCACTCCTGAGCAGCCCCACAAATAACTTGCCTTGGACTAAAAAGGGTTGTATCCTTATTCTGAAAAACATGCTTATTTCTCCAACACCATAGATGCCAACAAGTAAACACAAAAACAGTACTCCAAGGAACATCACCATTCCATTTCTCTCTAGAGAGCATATTGACCTTCATCCAAGGCTGAGCATCTAAATGGAAAAAACGATGAGCACAGGCAGGGAGAATAGCATTCCACGTAGATCGAGCACGCTCACAATCACGGAGAATGTGAAGGACAGTTTCAGTAGGCCAAGAACAAAAGCCACATGAAGGGTCAGACGCCAATTGCCTTCGAACACGCTGATCATTTGATAAGATTTTGCCTTGAGAAGCCAGCCACATAAAATATTGAAGCTTAGGAGGAACATTTAAACTCCACAAGGACTTCCAGCAGGAGTCAGGGGTAGAACAACCTCCAAAGAATAAACTATAAGCAGATTTAACGGAAAAGTCCCCATTAGTACTACCCTTCCATATCTGAGTATCAGGTAAAGAGCCTAAAAACCCCACAGGAACACTAATGACCTGTTGAACAAGATCTTCACAAAGAACGCCTCTCAACTTGTCAATGTCCCACCAGCCATTCTTAGAGAAACTTGAAACAGGATAATTGCTATCGGGGATGGTGAGAACCCCAGCCAGCTGCATTAAAGGGGCATCAGTAACCCAATTATCCTCCCAAAATTTTACACTATCTCCCCGACCTATTCTCCAACACATCCCTTGCATAAGCAATTGGATACCATGTATAATACTCCTCCAAGTAGTGGAACAAACCTGCCTTGCTCCAAGAGAAATATCAAAAATAGAAGCCCCGATAATTTCTTTCTTCTTTTTCGTTCTCCGTTCTTCCCTCCCAAACACCAGATATAAACCCTAACCAGAACCAGCCCTGATAATTGAAACATGGATTTTTCCAGCTGGCGTGTAATTGCCCCGTCGTCTGATTCAGATGACCTAAGCCTTCAGACATCTTTTTTTGGGTCCGCTATCGCCAGCAGATGATTGGGCTAAACTAGCACTGGATTTCAACCATCTCTTACTTGATTTTCGTTGTTATACTCAATACAATGGACTTCTTTCTTATTTTAATCAACATAAGTATTAAAACTTGAGTTGGATAAATTTTCGAAAAATCGGCCTAGGCGGCCGCCTAGGCGCTAGGCGGGAGGACACCGTCGCGATTTCACCGGTTGGATGGATAATAATGCAGATGATGATTTTGTTGCTTATGAACAACCCAACTTCGTAAATGCAACTGAGAAAACACACTTTCAAGTGCCAAGGAAATGTCGCATAGGAGTGGGAATTGTAATATGCCAGAAGATGAGAAGACAGCTATATCATTGAAAAACTATGTCAGGTGATTGATCAAGGGGCTATCCCCCCACGGCGTATTGTTGTTGTCATGCATGAGGTGACTGTACGGTTTCGCACTAGTACTGGTGTAACAGCAGCTAAATCATCCATGGAATTTGAGAGAGTAAGAATTGATAGTCTGGAGACAGTGAGACTTGATAGCTTGGAAGCTAGAGAAGAGAATTTTTAATACGGGGTAAAATTTTCCCCCAGTCGTTAAAATTCTTCTTAGATATACAAAAGAAGTAAGATATAATACAATGCTGCCAGATGCCTAAATATTAGAAACAATAGAGAGCACACTCATGAAAATATTCTAGGATTGAAGATGGGCAAGTAGTACCACTCACTGAGCCTAGCCGGCTGCTACTATGGTACCACCAAAGATGGAGGTTGCCACCAGCAACCACTTCGGCTGTGATGGGCAGTAGAAGTGTTCCAAAACAGAGAAAACCTCTTATTAGTTCGATTCCTAGTGACATGTAAGGCGAACCGGAAGTCCTTTCTCTGGTGTCGGCATCATGTCACCTGTGATCTTTTCGTTAGGATATAGCACTTCCCATTTGAACCTCATCACCACATTGTGAACAAAAGTGAGTATGGCTAGCCTTGCATACTCTTTACCAGGGCACATTCTTGGTCCTCCTCCAAATGGAACAAATGTGAAAGCTGGGAATGCACTCAAGTCATCATATCGTGAAGGGTCAAACTTTTCTGGGTTGGGAAAGTACTCTGGGTTCATGTTTGTTGTACTAACCGTCCAATATACCTGCATAAAAATAATATTTAAGATTTTAGTTTCAATCCAAAAGCTAATAAGGCAGACAAAAAGTGAACAAGTTTTTCACAGCAGTAAATTTTTTAACAGCATAGGTGACATATTTACCTTCCAGCCCTTTGGGATGGTGTAACCAGCATAGGTGAAATCAGTCAAGGCTTCTCTGAATGTCCCCTGAAGTGGTGGTGTGAATCTCATCACTTCATACAATACATTCCATGAGTACTTCATCTTGTTGATGTCATCCCACTCCAAAAATTGTCCAGGCTTCTTTGAGTCTGCAATCTCCTTGTGTTCTGGTTTTTACATGACAAATCAAATTAAGCACCAAAAAATAACCAAAGCTCCAATTTCAAATTATTGAAAATCAATTAGTAAGGTAAAGTTGAGGTGATTATTACCAGCTAGGACTTTGGCATAAATGTCTGGCCTCTCTCCAACATATTTCATGAAGAAAGTCATGGCAGTAGCCACAGTGCTGTATCCTGCTGTCAGCAAACCCATGATCTTATCAGCAACCTCAGCCTCTGGCATGTGTTTGCCAGTTGGGTCACTTGCCACAATCATATGTGACAATATGTCATGCATGGGAGCTCCTGATGCCATTGCAGCCTTCTTCTCCTGAATCACAATCTTCAACTCCCTTCGAAGTTCATCGGCTGCTTTGGTTGCTTTGTAGAATGTTGTTCCCGGGAAATTCAGAATAAGTGAATGCATCCCAACAGTCACATCATCGAAATTGCTCACAAACCTTGCAATTCTGTCTGGCTCATCTATGCCCAAGAAGAATCTGCAGGCAAGGCCTAGAGTGAGGGTCTTGGCCAGAGGGTACACCTCTACTTCATCTTTGCCTTCCCAATAGGCCTTCATCTGTGCTTGGGTGATAGAGTCCATTACCCCCAAGTACCTTACCAATGCTTCCGGCTTCAAAAACCCCGGTGACCTCAACACTTTGGCTTCTTCGTCACGAGCAGGTTGTGCTACTGCTGGAGGAGCAGCAGCAGCAGCTGCTGCTGCCGGAGCCTTATACGAACGAAACATCTTTTGCATCGAATGTGGTCGAAAAGCTGTGAAGTACTTCTGCTCATTAGAAAACAGAAATTTGTGTCCCTTAGGACCACAAATAACGGCAGTTTTCTCTCCAAGAATCTTGGTCTTGAAGATTTCAGGGGAGTACCTCCTCATCCTCTTGGACACAAAGATTTCTGGCTTCCCAAACAGAAACTCCAGAGTTTCACCCACAATAGGCCACCCCATGCTCCCTGGTGGCAGGTTCTTGCCATCATCTGATTTGCCTTTGAATGCAAAGATGATAAACGCTAAAAAAGCAGCACCCAAAGACAAGGCTAGGTAAAGGGTCTCCATGGTTGTTGCTGATCAAGCCTCAAATTGTTAGCTGAGATTGATTGAAGCTAAGCAAGCAGTGATGTTTAGGAAGAGAAGCTAAGCAGGGAGTGATGTGTAGGGAGCTTGGAAAGTTTGGTTTATATAGGGCCAGATCCCACCGTGTCAAAGTCTAACTTGGAGGTAGCACGCCAAAAGTAGTCAATTTTGAACATTTGGAAGGACTAATTCTCATTAATTAAATATTCATACATCTACAAAAGGTTTTATAATATTACAACACAAACACATGGTGACTTGATCCGTTGATCAAAGAATTGATGCGCACCAACCGGGGTACTGGTCATCAATGCATAGAAAAGTCCGTAGGCCACACTCGCATTTCCATCCTTCAGGCTCATAATTTGCATATGGTGGTCTTGAGCCAAGCCTGCTCAGCCCTCTATACTTTCCTTCATTTTCATCATGTACTGGAAGTCCTTCAATGCCTTCAACTACCCAAAAGACATACACTTACTGTAAAAGATAACCAAAAACTTATTAAAACCCAAGTGGGGAGAGCCTGAAATGTACCTGTTTTGGGTCAAAGGTAGCATCTTGGGGATGTGGGTTTTGGTCTTGATCAGCTATGTATAGAAACTAATTAGCAACATGGTATAAGAAAAAGCATATGGGATGAAGAAGGAATTGAAAACTAAAAATAAAAACCATGCTCTACAATTGTACTTCTTCTACAAATATAGCTTGTCCAATAGGAGTGTGTAAGTAGGTTTTTCCACTTATTCTCCTCACCATGGGTTTTGTTTGATTCTAATCAAGCTGTCTAGAAAGGTTGCACAAAAAATAAATACATAAATAAATAAATTACAATTGGAAAAGAATGAAGAAAGAGGGAGGCTCTCTGGTGCCACCAGCAATCACTTCTGCTGTGATGCATCAAGAAATGCTGAAAATGTGGTACCACGAAATGTTGCAAATGTTATTGGAATTGTCTGTTTTTTTTTTTTTTTTTAATGCGGTGTTCCAAAGTAGAACCAAAAGTAAGAGTCAAAATGCCCTAAATGAAAAGCATCATAGCTGAAATGGAAGGCATATACTTCTTTTTTTGGCTGCCTTCAAGTCAACCAGTATAAATCAAAGTTAAAAATCGCCAATGGTCTTTACATTTGCACGAGTTATTGTGATTCTTAACTAAGAACTAGCGATTTATCTTTCTGTTTTCTTACAACCAACTTGAGCAATAATTTATCAGTTGATCAACAGTAAACTGAAAGTCAAATTTAGAAGGCTATCCTTGGAAAACCAACTCATTCACCTTTGAAGATTCAAAGTTATAACATATGGTTTATTTATACCACTTCCAGTTCTGCAGAGAGGTTGCAGAAGAAGGTGATGGCCAAGTTTCTCAAAATGTATATTTATTATTATCACTTCTAATTCAACTTGAAATTTACAAATGAAAAAAAGTGTCATTCATTTAGTTTTCTCATTATGTAGAAACTGATTTTCCCTTAGCCATTCATATGATTATTATACAAAATATATATTCAAGTAAGTAAAGAACAATCTACAGTTGCAGCAAGCTATTATTATAAACATATAATATGGAGTTATGACCTAATAACAACATAACTGACAACTGACCATTTCCTATCATTAGTAGGATTAAATATTGTAACTGAAATACTATTGTAACACTCCCTAATACTCCCCCACAAATTGAGTGCGCACACATAGCAAGATTTGAATGAAGAAACTACATGGTGAAGGAGATTGCGGCAGTAGTCAGCTGTAGTAGTCCAATAAGGGGAACCAAAATGAAGAACTCCAATCTCCAGAGTTGCAACGGTGGCATGAGAGAAACAAAGTAAACATAACACCCATTGAAAGGCAGCAAGTGAAGGAGAGCATGGGCTCATGGAAGGAAGGAATAAAATGATGGGCTGACATACAAGTCAAATGTACCTAGGAAACAACTCTAGGCACCTGAGAAACATAATGCTACCTAGGAATCACCCTCTAGGTAGGATAAAGAGAAATAGACAATGTTGTAAAGAGGAATGAGAAAGAATAATAATTCAGACAAGTGCATTTTTTATATTTATAAAAATAATAAAGAGGAGGAATGGAAACAAAAGAAAATTCATCACATGGAAAGCAAAAAGGGATGTGTGCAGAGAGAAAAGAAAGAATATTTGAAGGGAAAAAAGGGGGTTAAGAAAGGGTGCAGCACAACAGTAGAGTATAGGAGGTGAAACCAACTTGGGACACAGAGAAAAGAAAACGAGAGCATGGGTAAGTTTGAATTTCAAGGCACCATAGAAACAATAAGGTATGAGGAAGAAAACCACGGGGGAACAAAGAAGTAATAAAGAAAATATTACCACAAGAGGATAGAGGCCCATATATATTAAAATATAGAAGGATGATTGACCCAAAAAACAATAATAAGAAATAAATGAGGAAACCAAATGAGACAAAGAAAGTAGTCAAGAGAGGGAGAGAGAACAAGATGCAAGAGACAATCCATGAAAAGGAAAGGAAACTCAAGATTCCAGAGACAACCCATGATAGGGAGAGAGAAAACACAATTGAAAAGAAAAGAAGAGAATACCCCAGTAACATAAAAGAATTATAAAGAAAAGAAGACAATACCCGAGTAACAGAGAAGAAGAAAGGTAGCGGAAGAGAGCATTGAAGAAGACAGAGACCAATAGTAAAATCAAAGAAAGATATTGGGCTTAAGAGGGGAGGAGAACACAGGTTGAGCATATATAGAGCGTGAGAGGATGATACCAAGGCAGCAACACAGTGATAGGGCTTGAGTGGTTGATACCAAGTCGGCAACACAGAGGAAGAAACATGGGTTGTGCAAAGGGAACATCAGCTGTGTAGCACGGCAGAGAAGGCTCGGCGAGTGTTGACGAGGCTCAAGGAGGAAAGAGAGATGGCTCGATGAGCGATGACAGGCAGCATCAACAAACAAAGGGAAAGTATGGAAACCACAATAAAGAAACCATCAGAAATACATGAGAGAGAGAACCCACGATTGCAAACTAGGATAAGGCTCGGCGAGGGTTGACACGGCTCGCAGAGGGAAGAGAGGTAGCTCGGCGAGAGAGACGGCGAGATGGAGACAAAGAAATGGAGAGAGATTTCAAGTGGAGAAACCAATGATAGAGAGGTGTGGTCTTTGAGGGAAAGGAAAAGTTTGTTGCTCGGTTTCAACAGAGAGAAGTGACCCAACATTGATGGATAACAAGGGGCTAGCGAGCCAAAAGAGGGATAGGCAGCGGATGTGTAAGAGATCAACAATGGCAGGATAGCATGACATGAGAGAGATAAAAGTCGGTGAGGAGAAGACTCGGTGAGCAGTGACGAGGCTCGCAGAGGAAACAAAAATCTGGCCATCATGGCCAAGGGAGATAAATGGAGCTGCCGTAGGTTGCCACAAGAGAGCTCGATGGAGGAGACGGTCCGCAATGAAGACGGCGCGGCGGAGACACAAAAATAACGAGCTAACAAAAGAAAGGGTTGCAGTGGTAAAATAAAGGTGCGGCTACAACTAAGGTGGAAAGAAAAACATATTCATCTTTGAGAAGAAGAGAGGAAAAAGCACTATACATACAAACACCCTTATGGGTGATGAGTGAGGAGCTCCAACGACTCTCAATGTTGGCAACTGGAGGATCGCTATTCAGCGTTAGCCATTAGCTCTGACACCATATAGAAACTGATTTTCCCTTAGCCATTCATATGATCATTACACAAAGTATATATACAAGTATGTAGAGAACAATCTACAGTTACAACAAGCCATTATCATAAATATAAATATGGAGTTATGGTCTAATAATAACGTAACTGACAATTGACCATTTCCTATCATTAATAGGATTGACTATTGTAACTGAAATACAATTGTAACTCCCTAATACATTACCTGAAGGCTGAAGGGGGGAAACAAACGAACAGTATTTCAAAACACAAAAAATTTCATAACAAATTGATGCCTAGTGACATATAAGGCGAACCGGAATTCCTTTCTCTGGGGCAGGCATCATGTCACCAGTGATCTTTTCCTTAGGGAACAACACTTCCCATTTGAACCTCATCACCACATTGTGAACAAAAGTGAGAATTGCAATCCTTGCATACTCTTTGCCAGGGCACATTCTTGGTCCTCCTCCAAATGGAACAAATGTGAAAGCTGGGAATGTACTCAAGTCATCATATCTTGAGGGGTCAAATTTTTCTGGGTTGGGAAAGTACTCTGGGTTCATGTTTGTTGTACTAACAGTCCAATATACCTGCAAACAAATGGAAGTAAAAAAATTTTAGTTCTAAGCAAAGAAATTATTATTTGACAGATGTGAAAAATAAATTTCACTCTTCAAAACTGTAAAAATTTATTATATGAGTGTGACATGTACACCTTCCAGCCCTTTGGGATGGTGTAACCAGCATAGGTAAAATCAGTCAAGGCTTCTCTGAATGTCCCCTGAAGTGGTGGTGTGAATCTCATCACCTCATACATTACATTCCATGAGTATTTCATCTTGTTGATGTCTTCCCACTCCAAAAATTCCCCAGGCTTCTTTGAGTATGCAATCTCTTTATGCTCTAGTTTTTCCAAGACAAATCACATTTTAGCACAAACAAGAAATAACCAAAGTTCCAATGAAGTATTGAAAATTAATTTAGGGAGGTGAAGTTGAGGTGATTAATTACCAGCTAGGACTTTGGCATAAATGTCGGGCCTCTCTCCAACATGTTTCATGAAGAAAGTCATGGCAGTAGCCACAGTGCTGTATCCTGCTGTGAGCAAACCCATGATCTTGTCAGCAATCTCAGCCTCAGGCATGTGTTTGCCAGTTTGGTCAGTAGCCTCAAGCATATGTGATAATACGTTATGCATGGAAGCTCCTGATGCCATTGCAGCCTTCTTCTCCGGAATCACAGTCTTCAACTCCCTTCTAAGCGCATCGGCTGCTTTGGTTGATTTGTAGAATGTTGTTCCTGGGAAATTCACAATAAGTGAATGCATCCCAACAGTCACATCATCGAAATAGCTCACAAACCTTGCAATTCTGTCTGGCTCATCTATGCCCAAGAAGAATCTGCAGGCAAGGCCTAGAGTGAGGGTCTTGGCCAGAGGGTACACCTTGACCACATCTTTGCCTTCCCAATAGGCCTTCATCTGTTCTTGGGTGATAGAGTCCATTATCCCCAAGAACCTTACCAATGCTTCCGGCTTCAAAAACCCCGGTGACCTCAACACTTTGGCTTCTTCGTCACAAGCAGGTTGTGCTACTGCTGGAGGAGCAGCAGCTGCAGGAGCCTTATACGAACGAAACATCTTTTGCATCGAATGTGGTCGAAAAGCTGTGAAGTACTTCTGCTCATTAGAAAACAGAAATTTGTGTCCATTAGGACCACAAATAACAGCAGTTTTCTCTCCAAGAATCTTGGTCTTGAAGATTTCAGGGGAGTACCTCCTCATCCTCTTGGAGACAAAGATTTCTGGCTTCCCAAACAGAAACTCCAGAGTTTCACCCACAATGGGCCAACCCATGCTACCCGGTGGAAGGTTTTTGCCATCATCTGATTTGCCTTTGAATGCAACGATGGTTAGAGCTAAAAAAGCAGCACCTAGAGATAGGGTAAGGTAAAGGGTCTCCATGGTCGTTGCTGATCAATTCTCAAACTCTAAGCTGAGATTGATTGAGACTGAGCAAGCAGTGATGTTTAGGAAGCTTGAAAATTTTGAACATTTAGAAGGACTAGTTTGTCATATATAATGATAAATAATCCATATACGCACCATTGATTCATACATCTGCAAAGAGAGTTATGATATTTACACTACAAACATATGGTCTTGAGTTGGTTTGCACTTTTTTTTTTTTGTTTTAACTACGAATGCTGCAAGATTTTTTTGTAACAATCTGTTAAGTTGGTTTGGTAGGTCTTGAGTTTTTTTACTTACGAAGAGTTTTACTTTTTACAGAAACATGAGTTGCTTGCTTACTAGGGGGTGAAGGAGTAATTTAAAGAAACAAAAATAAAAAACACATGTTCTCCACAGTTATACTCAGTGGCGGATCCAGGATTCAAAAGTCAAGTAGGCGAAACTTACCTTAAAAACTTGACGGTACGAGTGAATTTTATTCATAAAAATAAAAAGATACATCTAGTCAAGAGGGATGTAATGAGCCTTATCCTCAAATATGCATATCTATATATAAATAAAAGCTTAACAAAAAAAAAAAAAGTAAATGCAATGCAAAACAAAACAAAACTATTTAAATCTAAAATTTTACCCTACGAGGCATAGAAATCTTAAATTCCTCAATTATCTCTTCATTATCGATATTATTAGCAGACTCTCTTCTAATGCGGAGAATCATGCAATCATTAAGGAATTCATCAGATATGGTGCTTCGAAGTCTATTCTTAATAATTCTCATACATGAAAAAGCTCGTTTTGTTGTTGCTGTAGAAATAAGAAGAGTCAACACGAACTGAATCAACTTGTAAAGCAAATGGTAGTTTTCTGCCAAAGTTATTTCCACAAATTGTTGACATAACTGAGGAAGAGTGGCGAGGTCTTTAAAGCAGGGAAGGCGATGCATATCATTTTGAAAATACATTAACTCAATTTCTAAAGCTTTCAAGTCACTTGGACTGAAATCAACAGGATAGAATTTCTCAGCAAGTTTACATAGATGCCCAATATTGAATGATTTGAAGGAATTACGAGGATCCAATGCTGAGCTAAGAATAAGAAGTTCAACTGTTTGCTCTGGAAATCTGTTATTTAACTCCCTCAACATGCAATATATCACATCATTAAATACATTAATGCGACAGTAATGTTTAACTGTAATAAAATTTTTTTGTTGACAAAAACGACGTATGCCCATCATATAACGAGAACTCATATCAGGAACATCAATAACATGTTGTTCACAAAATGATACTACACTCATGAATAAATCATCCCAGCCATGTGCTCTCATATCTTGGAACTGTGATTTTGTGTTTTCAAGAAAATTTAAAACACTTACAATATCTTGAGTTTTTGTCTGAAACACTTGACAAAGAAAATTGGCCAATTCCATAATTTTATCCTTCAAAAGTAATGAAAACACAAACTCAAAAGACATCATAGCAATATAGTTACTTTCTACATCGCCACGAAATTGTTGATTAGGTCCATAATCATCGATTTCTTGGAGAAATATTTTTGTCTCTATAAATAAACTCATCAAACTTGTAATAGAGGCAAAGTGAGATCCTCAAAGAGTGGCTCCAGCTTGTTTCAAACTACGACCTTAATTAAGTCCTCTACCTGTCTCGAGTTCTCCAGAATTCAACACCTCTTTGAGTTCAGCTTTTCGAATTAAATTTAACTCATTATGGCGCTTAGTAGAAACACTAACAAAATTCACAATGTTAGTCAATGTTGAAAAAAATCTCTATACAACTTTCACATGCCTATATTGCTTTTTATTGTTTTTGTTAAAGGAGAAAGTTTGAGTGGGTTAGGCTATTGTTTTTGTTAAAGGGAGAAATTTGGGTGGGTTGGGTTTGAGTAGGCAAAAGAAATTTGATTGTATTGGGTAATTTTTGGTTTGGCAAAAAATGGAGTAGGCGGCTGCCTACCCTACTCTTAGGGTAGGGCCGCCCCTGCTGGGTTGGATTTGAGTAGGCAGAAGAAATTTGATTGTATTGGGTATTGGGTAATTTTTGGTTTGACAAAAAATGGAGTAGGCGGCTGCCTACCCTGCCCTTAGGGTAGGACTGCCCCTGCTTCTAATGCAGACATGGGCTTAGCCAAGTTGGCTAGATTGAATGTGCTCCCCACTCTGCATCCCAGATCGAACCTCACCACGTAGTTTAAATTAAATTAAAGTAGAATATTGCTTGAATCAAAATTTAAATAAATAAAAAACTAATAAGGAGACCATTAACTAAAATTATTGCTTGGTTGCTCTTCAATGTTTTCTCATTTAAAGATAACTACTCAGCGATTTTTTCGGTCAAACATTGTTGCTTCCTAAATCAAACTGTTGCCATAAGAAAGTAGCATTGCTCGAGTTTGTTAACAAGTAACTCATCATCATCCATCTTCTGCATTATTCATCCAACCGGATACCTTGAAGAGCTCAAATCTGATTGGATGCTGGTTAGACAACCAGCCATCCTGTCCTGGGGAAAGTGTCCGCCTTCTTGCCACACACGGCTAAGAGCGTTGCACAGTGGCATGATTGCTTCAGTGTAGGATTAATTAGTCGTAGTATCATAACTTAATTGCAGTAGTTGTAAGGATTCATCAGACTGTCAAATCTTCCCTTTTCTTTGTCCCTTGTTGTGTAATGATGAAATTTGGAATGTCATGTCTGACCTACAGTGGGAAGAGCTACTTTTTCCCTCAATTTAATATAACTCTCACATTAATAGCTAGCAACTTCTAATCTTCGATAGTTGCCATGGTTGACCTACCAAAGCCTGACTCTCCGTAAAATATCAACCACCTGATAAATTCTTGTCCAAGTTGGTCGGAAGGAGTGTTGCAACTAATTGTAGAAGGTGTAGAAAAACAAAAAAGACAGCATTATCCTGGAAACTAACAACTTTGTTACTTGAAGCCATGTCCTGAAAACTTACCATCCATAAAGTTTGTAAAACAAATATAGTATTACAATATTCTCCTTTATATGATTGCTTTGTAAGCTGATAAAATTTACATTAAACGGATATACTATATATGATTGCGATGATGATGTGCACACCACATTCATACGATCAAATACGTCGCAGAGAGGCCAACCTCTTTTCAAGATCCTCAACATCAGGAGATTCAGAACTGCATATAATTATAATAGAGTGTTAAAACCGATTGAAGTTAATATATAAGTTAGAACCTATTGGACACGAAAGAAATTATTATGGCAACAGCTTTTACACAGCCATTTATGGTACTGATGCTTTTCAGTTAGTGAATTCAAACTATTCAGTCCACCACTAAATTACTGAGTTGTAAACAAGGAAATAGCATTTGTACCTGGTAACAACATTTTCAGCATTTCTCGGAGCTACATTTTCAGCATTCCTCTGAGCTACATTTGCAGCACTCCTCGGAGCTACATTTTCAGTATTTCTTGATGCAATTCTGCCCTTTGGAGCTGAAGATAACTGTAAGGAACAAGAGGAAGATCACAGAGCAGTTAGTTTAAAACGAGAAAAAGAAAAAACAATAATAAAAGCAAAGTCATGCAAGCTATCAATCTCAAAGACGGGTACCTGGGATGCAATATCAACACCAATCTCATCAAGAACCTGAAACATGAAATATGCTTATTCTAGATTAATATGATAATGCTGATACTCCTGTACAAGAAAACAAAACTACAATTACGATGCCAATACTCCACCTGGTTAGTAAGCTCCTCGGTTTCCTCCTCAGCCTCATCTTTGTCCAGGGTTTCATCAATAGACTCTGACATCATCTCTATCTGCATAGAGGATAATATGACATTAAATTTTACACAAATGTGCACTATAGAACAAAACGTAGGTGCATAAAGGACAATCTGATAATTACACTACAGAACAAAATGTGGGCCAATAAGGGAGGAAGTTGTTCAGTCAGTAGTGTTTGATTGTCCTGTCCAAAACTGAGTACATCTTTGTCAACTTTTTAAAGCGATAAAGGGTTTCAGTTTCAGATCTCTCGCATATATGTATTTGATCTAGTAAACCACATTTGATGAGTGTAATTTCCCTTAGACATACATGGTTGATTAATGTTGTGTGTTTCGTTTCATAAAAATCAGAATTGCAATAATCAAGAATAATTCCGGAAATCCAATTCATCTCTCACATGTATGTACTGATCTAGTAAACCACATTTGGCGAGTGTAATTTCCTTTGGACAAGGTTGGTTCATGATGTGTTTTCATTTGATCAAACCTAGCATTGGAATAACCAATAAATTATTCCAGGAAAACATTAGTAATACCGTCATGTCCATTTGCGCCGCCTGCTTCTGGAATTCCCTGATCACTTTAACTTGTTTTGCAGGTTCCATTTGCTGAAATGAAAAATAAAATGATAATAATACTTTATTAATATGAAAAGAAAAAATATTTTGCTAAAAAATTAGAAACCTTGTGATTGAATTACAATGAACTGTTTGACTCATAATATTTCTCAAACCATGCATTGTCAGAGATGGACGAGTAATCAAATATGATGGAATACTACATAGTAATCAATAGTAATGCTGCAAATTTGTATCAAAACTGCCTCTTGAAATGCATACCTTGTTCATTGCCACCATTGCTTTAGTTGCACCTTTCATGCCTGTGGAAATAGAAGTGCTTGCGTATAATGCCTGCAAACATATTTAAAGTAAATTAACACCCAGAAAGTTTCTGGGCACATGATATATTTATCAAAATCTTTCAACCAAATTTAAAGCATAAAATGGTGACCTGTGTATGGGTAGCTACACCTCTTATTTGGGCACGACTTCCTTGCAAGTTAGTAATTTGTTGGCGTAGCCTAACGAGTTGACGAGCCAGGATTTTGGTGGCAGCCTGGATAAGACATATAAGGCATGATTGACAGGGTTTGGTCATACTTGTACATATCATCCATCTACACATACAAAAATCTCATCCTGCATAAATAATTTCTATATATGGAGTTTGCAGATATGCGGTCTCTGTTTGTATAAAGGAGCATCATCTTATAGTTTGTTAAATTTCAAAAACATTGCAAAACAAGTCATATCAGTTTGGTAACCTATCAGTAATGGGGCAAATTTATGTAGGTTATTTTTCTCCTATATTTCATAATATCTGAAGTAGCATTCACTTGGCACTTACGATTGCTGGAGCCCTCCTTTTATGTTTTCTTTGTTATGTGTTATTTCATTCATTTACAGTCGATGAAAGACCATATATAGTTTCAGATGGTTCCTCCTGCATCAATCTACATTCATTTCTGAATCAGTTAGCTATTCCTGTGGTGCAGTAACCAGCTTGCATCATTCCTAGACCACTAATAATTGGAATGTAAAACATGGCACCAAAGAATGAACAGTTTCATTTTCCCCAAGAGTAACAATTAAGTGGTTGAAATAAAGGAAAATAAATTCAATAAACATGGTAATACCAACACATCCAAATCATATTAAGCAGAAAAGCTGAGCTGCATATCAACTGTTAAAGTCTTAAAAGCTGCAAAACAATATGTTATCCCCTTAATGTATTTAATGTGCGCATTAACTATTACGAGGAGAGAACAACTTAAACAGAATATTAAGCTTGCCTCATTTCCAGTTTTAGCCGTTTTCTTGATCTCCGCCACCAATTTCTTTTCCTGAAATGCAGAAACAATAAAGACACCGAGGGAAGAATCTGGAAAAAGAATCAATCAGAAGATTTAGGGTAACTGTAGCATATACCTCCAATTGAAGAGATGCGATCTCACGTTCAATACCTGTAAAAGAAAAAAGGGAGTGGGGATCAGCCATTTTAAAGCATATTCAAACAAGATAAACAGAAGATCTTCTTTCAAAATTTTATCCTGACGCTCTAGAGCATACACATACCTCTGGTAGCAACACTCATTTCTCTTTTGCTTGTCCTCAGAGCCTCTGTTCAATTAGACAACCAACTTATCAAAGTCATTCACAACTTTTGTCAAACAGACAACAAAAAGAAAAGCTGAAAAAACTAGAAAATCCACACAATCAAGTCTGAGAATTAAAAAAAAAGAAGAACCCCCAAACATTTGGTGGTTCGGTAAACCAACTTAAAATTCTGAAATAGTAATGAACAAAAGTAAGAGTTAAATGAACACTCTAAAAGTAGATGTATAGGTTCATCTAAGTAAACCCTGAACAATGAAAAACCCATTTCCAGTTCAACAATTCCTCAACCACCAAACACAGTTAAAATGGAAAACCCCTAATGGGGAAGAAATAATGAAACCCTAGAAAGAGAGAGAGAGAGAGAGAGAGAGAGAGAGAGACGGAAAAGATGAAACCTTTGGGGGAGGTCTTCTTCTTGAAGATGTTCATGGTGACCACTGAAGTTGAGAACTTGAGAGCAAACAGAGTTAGACACCAAAGTCCAAACCAGTGGGGCAAAATCTTCTGAATCTTGTTTATAGGAGAGCGTGCAGTTTGTTCCCGGCTCCCTCGTAGCATAATCCAACGGCAATTTTCCAACTAGCCGTTACAATTCGTTTTGACTGTTTTGCCCTTCCTCAAGGGGATTCACTTTTGCACCGAGCTACACATATTTTTGTCTTTTCCAATGTTCATTTTTAATGTTTTTTGCTTAGGAATGTTCCACTACTTGGCATCATGATATTCAGGACCCAAAAAAAATTCATGACATTACTATATTGGATACAATAACGATCGATAATCTTATGATATTAGATGAGTGCTGATTTCTCCACTCATTTTTCTCTTATTTTGTCCACTTACATTTCTTTTTTATAACTAAAAAAAGAGTGTAAGTAGATAAAATAGGAGTGGGGAAATCATTACCCTATTAGATATGCCAATACTTACATTCATCATATCAAAACTAATTTTTAAAAATATCCATAGTTTTGTTGATATTTATGTATTTCCAAATCGGTATTAATTATAATTATTTTTGTGTATTCTCTTTATTTTTGTAATTATTTTCAGAATTTTTATTAATTTTAATACACTTTCTCTTGATATTAATACGGGATTATCATATGATTGATCTTAAAATTTGTCATGTGTTTTTTTAACGAATGCAGGAGTCAAAAGCTAAACCCATCTGGGCAAATCCATCCCAAAGTGGTGTTGGGACGACCAATTAAACATTTTGAAAGACAAAGCAGGCTACTACTCTTCAAAGTTGGATGCAAGACTTTTTGAGGGCCTTCCTCTAAGAATGGGCTTTGCTTATCCTATCCTATATGGCATGTTTTGGGCTTGGCCTGTGTTCCTATTTTGAGAAACTCCATCTGGAATGAGAAATTTCAAAAAAGAAAATAGAAAAAAAGGATTGACATTTCTTACAAAAACTACAAAAAAAATCTGATAGACCCTAAGTCCCTAAGGGCTTGTTTGTTACATGTTTTGCTGGCAAAATAAAACAACATTCTTGCCTGTAAGTTGTGAAACCAGCAGGAGTTGAGCTGTTTCAACTGAAGGCCCTTGCTAATATGAGAATAGCATTTTGGCCGGAAACCTTCCTATAACTAGAGCGTCGGCAAAGGTTTTTTCTTGTTTACATTTCTAAGTGATTATGATAGTACTAGGGTAGGCAAGTTCTAAACCCATTTGCTAGTATGCTAAACTTTTATTGTGGCCTTAATTTGTGCTAGGGCACTTAGGACTCAATTAGGCTCAGATACTCAGGGCACTTAGGACACAATTAGGCTCAGACACTCATGTAACTCGACCTAGGACTTTATGATTAAAGTTTCAATCTCAATCTTGGGTTTGTACGACGTAATCAGACATAACCTTGACTTGTCTTGATGAATTTTCGTCAGGATAGAAATATCTCAGTGAATTTTGTCGAGATAGACCTACTCCAGTGAACTTTTTCTATCTCGACAAACTTTGACGTGATAAGTCCTATTCCGGCGAATATGTGTTGCAATCTTTCCCTCCAAAATTTTGTCAGGATTCCAACAACAAACCACTTGTTAAAATTTACCTCAAGGCGCACTACACTAACTGGGATATGTTCGGTTACGTCGTACTAACCCTTATTAAGATCGAACCCCAAGGTCCAGTTACGTGAGTATCCAAGCCTAATCAAGCCATAAGTGCCCTAAAGTAGGTTTATGATTAGGGTTTAAGGCTTGATAACAGTTTTGGAACAAGTTCAGAAGTTAGGGTTTTTGGTTTGAGATTTGGAGTCAAAAATCCATTTTTTGGAATACTAAAAATTTATCTAAACGTCTTCTACAAGGATGCAAGTCAATGGTTGTGGTTTTACAAGTCAATGGTTATTTTACTAGAGAACATTAACCAAGGCGTTCTACAAGTTTGCAAGCATTTTTCCTTATCATTACTTTAACCTGCAAAGAACGTGAAAAAAGGACAAGACTTCTCCATCACGTGGTGGGAAGAACCTAGACCTTGACCTCTATCCATGACGTTCTTATTCATTGTCTGATCCTTATTCTTGAAAATTCAAAATCGCTAGATTTGCATCCACTTTATTAGCATGTCTCACTTGAAAAGAAAATTAGCATTGACCTTCACAAGTCATGCTTCCAAATTTCCAAAACGTGTATTGCAAGAAATAGAAAAAAGTTGGCTTCTGGGAAATTCATTGGTTGTCACATTCAACTATTTACTGCAGAAAATAAAAAGCCATCCCCTTCTTTTTCTTTGTATGGAGTATGGATATGGACCACATTATTTATATATTTTCTAAATAAAAAATTTCTAATGGAATAGAGTTTTTACAGTGAATCCAATTGGTTGCAGCTTCTGTTGTAGATTTTGGATACTTCTTGGCCAAACACAAAAAAGAGAGGACAAAATACAGTAGTCTCTGTACAATTGAATTAACACAAGCACTTCTCTCTTTTCATTTTCAGCAACATCAAGGATTCAAGGACATAAAAAGTCCACAGTTTTGGTGTTTTCCCGTAAGCATTTCCAATTCTTGAAAATTCAAAATCGCTAGACTTGTATCTACAATACTTTAGCATGCATTTGACATGTTACTACTCATTAGAATACATTGTCAGGAGTCGGGATCGCATGATACAACCAACATATTGGACTCTTAACTTTTTATTACTATTAGGATGCATCAACAGATCATAGTCACTAATCGCACCCTGAGAAGCATTGTTGGGACCAACATGAGTCATTCTTGGTAGTCCTTTGCACAACACTCCCTCTAATCAAATTAAATTCACCAAATTTTGACAAAAAATACCCAAAAATCTAAGGGTCCGTTTGATATCATACTTGGATCCAATTTTATAAACTGAAAAACAGATTTTAAGTCCAAAACCCCAAAAACCCATTTGGTAAGAATCCAAACCCCAAAAAAACTCAAAAACACCCCAATTTTGAAAACAAAAAAGGTGAGATAAAGTGTTTTTTTTTTTTTTTCCTTCTTTCTATCTAGTCATGTGTGCATATGAAAGCTATATATTCACAACAAGATACGAATTACAATACAAGATTGGAAAGTGCATTTCAAAAGTCCTCTCACGCCTCACAGAAAGGAGGAAAACCCAAGCACAGGAACAGAGAAAATGAAGATGAAAAGAAGCAGACCAAACAATCCAAAACCAATATATCATCTTCCACTCTTCTTCTTCTTCTTCTTCTTCTTCTTCTTCTTCTTCTTCTTCTTCCTCATCATCAAATACCAAGGGAGCAAAAGAAGCTGCAGTTGCTGGGTTTGGATACAAAATTCAGTCAGTCAACTATGATTCTTCTGGGAACTCATTGACTGCTAATCTTGGCCTCATCAAGAAATCCTCCCTCTATGGACCTGACATCCCAAATCTCAACCTTGACGCCAGGTACTTCGTAATTAACCATTCTCAATTTATTAATCTTAGATTAGTTTATCATCTCACGTTTTCATTTTTTTAATTCTCATTAGTCATTGGGGGTTGATCATTTCATTAGGATATTGCAAAACATCCCAACCGTCCATAATATAGAATATATAGCTAAGACCCTTATTGACCAAAAACCCAATTAGCATTTCACTCCACAATATTAGCCATACAAATAGAAGACTATTAATAAATTAATTGCTCTCTTACTTACAAGATGCTTGCCATACTTTCTTAAACTCGGACTGTACATAACAGTAACATGCGTTACTAGACCATCAATGATTCAGATTCACTGTCTTACTACATAATTAAACATCTCATGTCATCAAACGGAGACAAGTTTTTCACAAATTTATCCTAGAATTCTAATTGGCCCTTGTGCTGCTAATCATGCATGCAGCTGTGACCCAAAGATCGGCTAAGAATTCGAATAACAGACTCAAAGCACCAAAGATGGGAAATCCCACAACAAATAATCCCCCGCCAAACAACTTCACAGCATCCACAACAATGTCAAACCCACAACAATCACCTCGTGATCTCTAACGACCTTGTCTTCACTCTCCACAACACCACCCCATTTGGCTTCACCGTCACCCGCCAATCCTCCAACGACGTCATTTTCGACGCCTCCCCAAACCCATCAAACCCCGACACCTTCTTGGTCTTCAAGGACCAATACATCCAGCTCTCCTCCTCCCTCCCCGAAGCCAGGTCCTCCCTTTTCGGCCTCGGCGAGCACACCAAGTCCTCCTTCAAGCTCACCCCCAACCAGACCTTGACACTCTGGAACGCTGCCATTGGCAGCGCCAATGCTGACGTCAACCTCTACGGGTCCCACCCCTTCTACCTGGACGTCAGGTCAGCTTCTCCAGATGGCAAGGCCAACGGCGCCGGAACATCTCATGGAGTGTTGCTGCTGAATAGCAATGGCATGGACATAACATACGGCGGTGATAGAATTACTTGTAAGGCCATTGGTGGAATTGTGGATTTGTATTTCTTTTCTGGGCCAACGCCGGAGTTGGTGGTGGAGCAGTATACAGAGCTCATTGGTCGCCCTACCCCTATGCCGTATTGGTCTTTTGGTAAGTTTGTTTGCACTCGAATTGCATTAATGTTTTTGTTTCGGCACTTATTAGTAGACAGGCTTTATGTCACATGACCAGTTGAAATGGTACAAATAGTTTTGTTCTTTGATTGAAATGTGCATGTATAGTCCCTGTTTGATATTAGCATGGTCCAAAAATGTCCTTCCTACTGGCATAGTATGCTTTTTCATCTTATTTTGGAATCACATTGACTTTGTTCACTTATTCTCTGCTGAAGGATTTCACCAGTGTCGATATGGTTACAAGAATGTTTCCGATCTTGGGGGTGTGGTTGCTGGCTATGCAAAAGCCGCTATCCCTCTTGAAGTTATGTGGACAGACATTGATTACATGGATGCATACAAGGATTTTACTCTTGATCCCATCAACTTTCCATTGGATAAGATGAAGAAATTTGTCAACACCCTTCACCAAAATGATCAGAAATATGTGCTCATCTTGAACCCTGGTATGTTCTCTCTGCAGCA